TAGTGCCCATTTGCAGGGCTGTTGTGAAAGTGAAAGGAAGCTACGTGCATGAAGGATTTGGCATGGGTCCTGGGATCCCAGTGTACACTCAGTGGAGGAGACCTCTTGTTATCACTGTCGTGAATGACCCGCGGAAAGCCAGAAGGAGGTTTGCTCCCCAGGGACCAGTACAGGAGCGTAGAGAATACTTGGATTTTTTTTTTTTTTTTTTTTGAGTTGGAGTCTCACTCTGTCGCCCAGACTGGAGCGCAGTGGTTGCTCCCGGCCACCGCAGCCTCAACCTGCTGGGCTCCGGTGACCCTTCCACCTCAGCCTTCTGAGTAGCTGGAATTACAGGTGCGCGCTACCACGCCCGGCTGATTTTTTGTAGAGATGAGGTCTTGCTGCCCAGGCGGGTCTCGAAACCGTGGGCTCAGGCAATCCACTCACCTCAACCTCCCAGAGACACGGGATTACAGACTGAGCCACCGAGCCCAGCTGAATACTTCGATTTTTGACCAGATTTTTGAAGCGTTTGCGCAAATGCTGGAAGGAGAGGTATGGCACGCCAGCAGAGATTTTGAAGAACAGGGTTGAGAAAGGGTTGAGAAAGGCTGAAGCTCAAGGAGTGGGCCTTGCAGGCCAGTGCTGCGCACTTTGTGCTTCTCCTTAGCGCAGGGCAAAGAAAGCCCAGGCCCTGCTGTTGGGACAGAGCAGCGTCCACCACCGCAGGAGGCGGGGAGAGGGGCCCGTAGACAGAAGGCCTCAGGAGTCTCGGGTGCAGCAGGCTCTCGCCCGTGAGACCCGTGACTTGGCGCCACCAGGGAATGCCTGGGCTGGGTGACCCAGCAGGGCAGCCGCAGATGCTTTAGGGGGAAGCAGTGAGCCCTGAGCGTGCAGGCAGTCCTCACCACCATGCTGATGCGCTCACCCGCCCGGGACACGCAGACAGCACAATATCCCCAATGCAGTCGGGGCCCAGCAAGGCCTCTTGAACGCGTTCTGGCAACATCACAGGCACGATGGAGAGCACCTGGGTGAGGGACGATGGGCGGGCTGGGCTGCTGGGTGAGCATGCCCAGAGCGTGGTGATGGTGACCTGACTCTGCCCCGTTGACTGTTGATCAGAGCCAGGTGAGACCATCGGTGTGTGTGTACCCGTTCGTCAGTGACATGGAGTCAGGAAGGAATGCTGGGATGATGGGAGCCAGAGTCAGGTCAGAACAGCCCAGACAGCCTGAAACACTTGGCAGAGAAGGTGGGTTCTGCTCCTGGCTCCAAGGACCCACCAGATGGGGTGAGGGGCCCAGGAGCCACCCAGGGTAGAGTCTCGCGGGCTGAGGAAGGGTGGTATGACTTGGGGGTATGATGAGGCTACACAGAGCAGATGATTTGATGGCAGGCCCAAGCAAGAAAGATCACAGTTCCTCTGTGATCGGCACTGGTTGGGCCACACGCGGTACTTGTGTTTGCACTTGATGTTTCACTCCCGGACATGACACTTCAGCTTTGACAAGCTTGAGTGGGTCCCGGGGGGGGGCCTGAAAGATGGAGGATCTCAGAACCCTGTCAGGAAGGGAGTTGAAAGTTAGGCCCACGGATGCTAGAAGAAGAGCCGTGGGACATGCGTGGCCCGAGGGCCCGAGGCTGTCTGGGGAAGACGGCTTAGACAAGCGCTGGGTGCCGTGGGGCTGGTGGTTGGAGACTCGCAGGGAGGCAGCCCGTTCTGCAAGAGGAAGGCGGCCCTGCCAGCACCTGCCTCTGCGGGGCTTCGTAAGCCTTCCCAGAGTGCCGGTGGGTGGCCAGGCCTGCAGGTTTCGCTCCAGGAGGACAGAGCCCTTCAGGCCGTCCCAGAAGTCCCCTCTCTGCAGGGGAGCTGACCAGGCCAGAGGTGTTGGGTTCTGGGGCCAGGAGAAGGGGAAACAAGTTTCTCTTAAGCCATCGGCATTCTTGCAGAGGAGTGGATAGACTGAGGGCAGCCAGCTGACATGTTGCCGCTTTCATCAGACATTTTATGGGCACCTACTGCATTCCAGCCACAGCTAGATGCCACCTGGGAGCAGTCTCAGCTCATCCTCGTGGTGACCATTGTTATTTATCCACGTTGAGAGGATCCTGAAGCTTAGAGAGAGGTTAGGGCATCTGCCCAAGTCACATGAGACTCGAACTCAGACTGCTGTTAGCCACACTGCGTCCTGGAAAATGGCTCTGGCCCCATGACCCTGGCAGGTCCCAATTGGTGCGAGTCATGACTCCCTGGGGCCCCCTCCCTTCTGGCCCCCACACCCTGCCTGCTTCTCCGCTGGGAACTCAGAGAAAACAGCCCAGCTGAAAAACTAGGCCACACTGCTGAGCTCACTACTTATTTTTTACGACTCAGATTAAGCTGACACCCATGCAAAACACTGCAAACCTGTGTCGGCTGCAGATTTAATACTTCACCCGGCCCACGCAAATAATTCATGCTCCTGTACTGAGGTCCAGAAAAAGCAAATCAGCAAAAAGCCAGGCTCCTGCGTGTGGGGTTGGCTGTGGTTCCGTCACTGCAGCCGCCGGAAGTCCAGGGTTCCAGGACTGCACAGCTGGGGCTTGGCGAGTGCATTCTCTTAGAAGATTGAAGCACGTTTTCGATGGCGAAGGGGGTGGGAAGCGTGAATGTGGGCACCTGTCTGGTTAATTCTACAGATGAGGACATTCCTCTCCGTCTCCTTCAAGCACTTGCAGTTGAGGTTGACGTCCTCCTCGGCGGGTGCTGTGGCAGTTACCAGGGGGACGGCGGCTGACTCTCAAACCATGTGTTTTCCCTCCCACTGGAGCGTCCCTCACCCTGTGTGCTGCTGGCTTGGCTTTGCCACCCGCGCCCCACCCCCACCATCCATCGGCATTCTTCCCTGGTCCAGGCTCATCTGGGTGTGGGAACGGTCGTGGGGTGACTGAGCGTCACCCTGGCTCTTCCACATCCTCTCGCTCCGAGGCCCAGGCCTGTCCTCGCACCTCTCTGTGC